CTCAAGAATCTATTTCACAATGAGAGTAAAGCTTTGTCAAACGAGGATGTATTTGATATTTTTTTTCAAACTGATAAATATGATTGGGAATTAAGTCAAGGGAATAAATAGAGAGGGGAATCACAACAGAGAATCCCTATTTGAAATTCACCAGAAGAGTAACTATCAAGTCATGAGATTGATTTCCTCATGTGGCTTGTATAATGACTCTGAAGGCCATTCCTAGAAAGAATTCAAACATATTTTGAGCAATGGCAGCCTCATTGAAATAAGTGTGCAGGCTCCCCACAGACCACTTTGAAGGGAACTCACTTCAAGATCTAATTTTTGTGATGTTTAATGATAATAACAATTGCTAATGTTTAAATAGTATTTTAAAGTTTTCGAACTAATGATATAATGTTATCTCTTCCAGGTGCTTTATCTATTACCATCCTCTTCTTACAGATGAGGAAACTGAGGCTAAGAGAATTGCTTGAGTTCATATGTATAAGAATCTGAGTCAGGATTAGAACCCAGTCCTTTCAGGTGGCAAGCACAAGGCCTGTAGGACACATGAAGCCCACATTACTCCCAAGTGTGGCCCAAACCAGATTCAAATGTAATTGAGAAATATTTAACAAAGTAAATAAAAATATGATAAACCATAGATGGTATTACATTTTAAAACTAAGTTAATGCGTGTCCCTTATGTTTGGTTTGGTGGTTCCTTTTTCTACTTGAGTTTGATGCCACAGCATTACTCTACCTAGACGACTCATGGTGAATTATTTCTCCTAATCTAGACTCTTCTCTTTCTAGCTTCTATCTAGTGACTCCCTCACTGCTTTGCTCTGGCATCTGCATTCAAACTCAAGCAATATTCAATAAATCCTGAAGTCAGGAAGACCTGAGTTCAAATCTAACTCCAGACACTTAGAACTGTGAAACCTTGGGCAAGTCATTTAACCTCTTAAGCCTGTTTCCTCATCTGTAAAAAGTAAAATTGGAATAATGATAGCATCTACCTCACGAGGTTGTTGTGAGGATCACAACAGCATCTTAAATATAGACTTTTTCAAACCTTAAAGTACTTTGTAGCTAGGTATGGCAGTGTATGTTTGTAATCCCAGCTATCATGGAGGCCAAGGCTGGAGAATCTCTTGCACTCTTGTTTTATGTGGTGGGCTGTGCTAATCAGGCATCTGCATTAAGTTCAGTATTAGTATGGTGAACCCCCAGGAGCAGGAGACCACTAGGTTGCCTAAGGAGAGTCAAAAATGGAATTAGTCAAAGCTCCCATGCCCATTTGTAGTGGGATTGTACTGTACTTCCAGGGTAATATGGTGAAACGAAGTATTTTTTAAGTGCTATATAAATGCTGACTATTAAGTTCCTACTGTGTGAAAACACTGACTTAGGTGGGCACTTGGAGAGGTAATAGTATTTAGCTAAGATAGGCGGCCTTCCCCCATGGAGTCTAATAGGAGGATAAGATAGACATGAAAGTCAATATGGACTGAGGACGGAGGGGGAGAGAATCAGGGAAACTTCCTGGAAAGGGAAACATTTGAATGGGGCTTTGAATTATGGGCAGTAATTCAACAAGTGACAGGGGTAGAGGATAGAAAAATATTCCTGTCCTAGGGAAATGCATAGCAAAGATGTTAGAGTGAAGGGAGATGGAAGGATGGGAGAGAGTTTGGCTAGTACATAGAGTTCATATAGGGAAGAAATATGAGGCTGGGAAGAGCTAGCTGAAGGGGTTTGAACTTGACTGTGGGCAGTAGGGAGCTTGTACTAAACTAAGTTTCTCCTGTACTTGGCTTGAGGCAGGGGGACCCATTACTGTCAATAAAGCACTTCCAGAGAGGAGGCATCAAACTAGAGATTCAGAGAGAGAGAGAGAGACAGAGAAACAGAAAGGGACAGAGACAGAGACAGAGGAAACAGAAAGCGGCACAGAGACAGAGAAAGAGCAGATAACTGCTCTATTAAAGCTCCTTGCTTCTCTCCCACCCCCAAATCAAAACATTTATTACTTTATATTGATAATACACCGAAAAAACCAGGAAGTCATTAACAATTCAAATTTCAGGTTCTTTTCTACAGGTAGAGAAGGAAGGTGTTTTAGCTTCTGGAAAATGTATTAAACTCTCATCAACTCATGTGGCGGGGGTGCACTGAGTATCTGTGGAGACTTCATCTTAATGAGCTCATGAGAAGAATCCTTAAGCTGAAGTTGTCCCTGACGCAGATTGGGACCAAGATCAATGGTTCCTCACAGTTCCAAGTGTTAGCATGCTCTGAGTAGAGAACCGCAATCTCATCCCCAAGGGCCTTCTCCGATCCCTCCTCCAAACTTGAGTTTGCAAAGTGATTGCCCAATTCCCCTTATCAATGCCCTCCATTCCTCTGTGGTCTGCAAAGCCAAACTGAGCAAATAGAAATCCTCTTTTTTTTTCTCCATATTGTGGAGGAGAGAAGCTTCCCTGAGCATGTATTTCTTTCTTTGTCTCTGTTCTTCTCTCACACTGCCTCAGTCTTCGAAGGTTTTATCTCTGGGCCTTTCACTATTTTGTCCTTATTCTTCAGTCTCTTTCTGTGATTCTGTCTGTCACTATTTCTGTGTTCCTTTTTGGTTTGTTTTGTTTTGGGTTTTGTCTTTATATTCCCTAGCACTTAGCACAGTGCCTGGCACAGAGGAAACATTTAATAAAGACCTATTAAACCGAATTGTATCTGTCTTTGTCTCCCATCAAGTCCAGATACAACTTTCTCTCTGCTTCTTCCCTCCTATCCACTTTCTCTCTGCCTTCTTTATCCCACCTCCTTCTCTGTGGTTTTGTCTCTTTCACTAATTCCCTCTTTTCTCTTCTGCCCTGATTTCTCTATGTCTGTGTCTCTCTCCATAGTGTTTCTTTACCTCTCAGTATTTTATAAATGTCATCCTTGGGTGTTTAGCAGGAAATAGAATTGGATTCAGCCTCTGGGCTTTCTAAGACCAGCAGCAGAGCCCAAATTCTAACACATAATCCTCCAGCTCATTACATTTCACCACTCTTCCCCTCTCATCAACTATTTCCAAAAGCAGAGATAAGAAATTGGAGAAGGAAAGTACAGAGTGTTCCCTTCCCTGGGGCTCCAATCAGGTGTCCCCAGAGGGCTGAGCTGTGAGAGGCAGCAGTAGGAATCATAACTAGGAAAGGGAAATGTTATGGTGATTAATCACAAGGTAAGATTGGGGTAGAACAGGTGAAGCCATTTGAATGAGGCTTAGCCTCTAAATTAAAGTTAACCTCTCACTAAGACAGTGAGAAGTTCAATCTGCCCAAATTGCAGCCCTTTTGTGAGGGATTGATTCTGTTTAGCTTCTTTCTCTGCAGCAATGTACTCAGGGAGATACAGAGAAGCTGAATGGGAGCATGAGAATAGCTTTCCTGATTCCCTCTTATAGGTAAGGATCAAAATCCAATTTAAAATTTTTTTAAAAATTCTCTCCTAACAATTAGTCACAGGGCAACTTCAGCGTGAGATGCCATCTGTTCTTCAGAGTATTTAGTGGAAGCCTCATCGAATATAGATTGAGTCTTGGTGTTTGGAGCAGGAGAGTAGAATGGTGATTAGGCTGGTCAAGAAAAAGTCTCCTTTGAGCTCAAGCCACCACTCCTCACCTGGTTGGCTTGGGTGTAGGGAGGGGGAGTACTGGAGGGGACACTGTTTCCTAAGGAGAGAGAATAATCATTAAAGAACAAGAACTGAATTTTGTCCAGTAAGAAATTATCTCCTACACTTTCTCTACCTGGAGTAAGATCACATTAATATTGAGCACTGTCACAGATATTCAATGGCAAGTTAAGAAGGCTTTAAAAAAGAGCAATGACATTTTTTTTCTTTGTCACTTCCATATTATAGTTAGTAGATTATACTTTTTTGGGAAAGCAATACATGTAAGATTACTGGTTTTAGATAAGATAACCTGTTTTAACCCTTTTATTTTTCAGGTGAGGAAACTGAGGCTCAGAGGGGCTCTCTCAAGGTCACACAGGCAGTAAACAGCAGGGATGAGATTCAAACCAGGTCATCTGACTTCAAATCCCATATTTTGTCCATTGTTGGTTCTGGTGGGCTGCACCCAGTTTTATAGTATGTATGTTAAGCAAGAAGAAATAGGTTAAGGCAAAAAAATGTTCTTATAAGTCAAGAATCCAAGACTTCTGAAAGCTCTTAGGACTGTCACAGAACACCAGAAAGCATCCCATTCAGTATCCTCACTGCTGCATCAGTTATGAGATGGAAGCAGCTAGGTGGCATGGTAGATGTAGCAATGGACTTGAAGTCAGGAAGAACTGAGTTCCAATCCTGAGCTAGTCTGTTGCCAGCTATGTGACCCTGGTAGCAAGTCACTTAACCTCTCTGCCTCAATTTCCTCATCTGTAAAAGTAGGGGATAATAATAGCACCTACCTTACTTACAGGGTTGTTGTGAGGATCAAATGAGGTAAGATTTGTAAAGAACTTTGCAAATGTCAAAGCAGTATGGAAATGCTAGCTGGATATTAACGTTACTCACATGCTTCAGAATTCAGTGACCCATGGAGACACAAAATAGAAAATAATAATAATAGTAATAATAAGTGCGCACTACTGCTTAGCAGGTTGAATCACTGGCATTTTACTAAAATGCACACGGTCCACTTGGATTCTTGTCTAAAACCATCCCCTTTTCCCTGTGATGGCAGGATTTCCCCAAGTAACACGTAAAGTACTTCCCTGAAGATGTTGTAGCCTTCCACATGAACGTACAGGATATCTCATGCTGAAAATGTCCATGGAGAAAAAAGTCTGGGCTATATCACATTCTAGTGGCAATCAGTGAGTTATACGATTTAATATCTTTGCTATTCCATTAGAAAACTAGAGTTCATTCCCTGGGTGTCTACCCCTATAAAATGTACAGTGCACAAAGGCAGAAGGGGGAATTTACAGAGGAAAGAACACATTCACAAAAAGTCTAGTTGCTATTTTACAAGAGAAGTGTGAACCATCCAATACATACAAAATGTTTCAAGGTGTACGTCAGTACCGAAGGCATTATGAAATATTCTTTGGAGCACAAACAAAAGTGCAAAACAGCCAAGGCAACAGAGCAAATGAGAGGAAGCTAAGCAGCCATCTTTGCTAGCCAAAAGACAACCAAATGTTAATGTTCACCAGGGAGTACAAGTGAGACTTAGGAAATGGGAGAGTGAGTGTGTGTGTGTGGCAGGGGGGTATGGGTGTGGGGGTGTCGGTGTGACAGCGTGTGTATGTGTGTGTGTGTGTGTGTGTATGTGGGTGTATCACAGCATATATAGAAGTGTATTTATGCAATTGTGTAGAGACTAGCAAAATTGCCTCATGACGCGTAGATTAAGGTCCATCCAAAGAGGTTTAAAGTCACTGCAGGGCAAGCCCAATATTCTGATCTGCCTCTGTTTTTATTAAGTAAATGTGAACTCACAGACTCGATAGAAGATATGAAGGAACCAGAGGCTGGCTCAGTGGAACATTTGTTCCTCATGTGGAATCAGATCCATTTCGGGGATCCAGGGGTCAGGCCCTTTCTCCCCCCGTTGGCTGGGCTCAGCCTTCCTTCACTAACCACCACCCTGTCACATCCCCCATAGCAGGCCCAGATCACTGGTCAGAGCCTGCCAGTGAGTAAGTCACAGCACTTGGAAAACCTGACCTCTTTGGGGCTCGGAGGGGCCCACTCAGACAATGATGTCCACTCTCCAAATGGTGGCAGCTGAGAGAGTTTCCGCCAAAGCACATTAAGGCAATTTGTCCAAATGTCTGTACAGCCCCTTGAAAAATTGCATGAAGTAAAAAGAAACGTATTAAATACTTGGCAACTTTAAAACATTTTCTTTCCTCCCCAGGACTGAGAGATTTTTGTTGCATGGCATACACACCTCCTCAGGACTGCAAAGGAAGAATTCTCCCCTAGTGGTATCCCATGGTTCCCCGGCATCACTCACTCACTGGCAGTTTTGGACAAGCACAAAGTTCCCTCCCTGAATTAAAGCCAAACCCCAAACTAGGAGCAGGGGGAGAGCTTCTATGGGCCTTACTGAAAAATCTCTGTCTAATCCCACTTTTAAACCCCACTTTTGTGGCTTTAAAAAAAAAAAGGAGGGTAATCTCAATGCACTGGAGATTTCTTGTCATTCCCTTTGGCACATACATGATAAGCCAAACCACAGGTCAGATCCTTGAGAACATGGAGCCTTGTCTACTTTGGATCAATTTGAGGGCAACATTTAGGCTCTGTCCATCTGGTTTCCTGAGACTTCGTCCCAGGACTAGCTATGGTAGCTCCAACTTCACAAGAAGCCGTCATAGGAAAACTTCATTCAGAAGACAGGAATGAAGCATCTTTGAATTAGTAGGGGCTAGTTACCATTTATCTCATAGTGAGAGAACAGAACACACAAGACCACTTTATGTCAACCACCTCCTACAAAGCCCAGTTCAAAGCTACCTCTTTCAAGATTTCTCCTAATTTGCTCATCATGCTCCGATCTCTGGGTCCCCTCAGCATACTCAGCTTCATTTCTTATGTCTTTAAGGTGTACTTGCTGATACGCTATTTCAAAATGTTAGGTTGTCTCAGGCATGTCTCCTGTCTCCCCAACTAACCTATAAATTCAAAGACCAAGAAGCAAGACTTCTCATTTTTCTTATATTTCACTCAAAACACTCTGTACTAGAGCTCTAAGGAGACAATCTTGTGTTGATTGACTGGCAGATGGTTAAAAACAAGAACATGTAAAAAGATCAAGAGATTGGCAGAGGCAATGGAGGGGACAAGAAGGAGTCTTGACAAAGGGATTGGACTGACAATTTCCTTCCTCACTTGGTCAGTTTATAGTTGGATTGGCACATGTATTCAAAAAGTGTAGGCATAAACACAATCACCATACAGTCATGTATACTCAAACTCGTACCTTCAGCAAACAGTCCCATATAGACTCTTAGCACTCATAGTGGTGCAGAGATACAAACACATATTCAGCACACACAGTCACACCCAATCACACTCAGCACACAGAGACACACAAACACCAGTACGTGCTCAATACAGTCACATTCAGACATAATCACATGCTCAGCACTGTCACACGCCAAAACGCTGTTCACTCATACATAGTCAAACACAGATACAAACATGTATTCTCTACATACAGTCATACACATACAACTATCTTCAGCATACACAGACATACAAATACAAACACAGACACAGAGTCATGTAGACATAAACATACCCATCAGTCACACACACATACACACACACACACACACACACACACACACACACCGGCCTCCCCCTCAAATGGATTTCTACTAAACCTCCTTCATATACTTACACTTACAACATTTCTCTGACTGACAATCTGACCCAATTAGAGAGTGATGGCCCCATTGGTAATTAGGAAAGATAAGGCAATGCTACTCTGAAGTGAACACTGACTCATCAGACTTGAGCTCTGAGCTCCAAGCATGTTTGTGTAAAGGAGATTGGTGGGGAGGGGTGGAATGCAGGGGAATGGTTATGTAGCTAAGAAATATCTACTGTGAATGAAGGGGAGTGATTATGTAGCCAAGAAATAGCTACTATTTTACTTACAGAAAATTCTGCTCTGGGGGAAGGATCCCAGCAGCAAATGATAAATGGGCAGATGAGGCACTAGTGGCAAACATGAACCTTCCACTCTGATGCACTCAGTCGGCATGGGACTCATTCAGCATAGGGATAACAGTTCAGTAGTTCCAGAATCAGGAAATCACAGAATCTCACAGCTGCAAAGGGACCTCAGAGGATGCCTTGTCCAACCCACACTCAAGAGAAGATATTCCCCTACAGCATCCCCCCAAAATGGTTTTCTAATGTCTGCTTGAAGACCTCCAGAAAAGGGGAACTCACTTGAGGTATAACCCATTCCACTTTTTATCAGGCAGTGCTTTCTTGTATGGTCCAAATCACAAGTGCTACCCAATGCTTTTAGTTCTCCTCTCTGAGGCCAAGCAGAATTATCCCAAACCTTCTTCCATCCAACTACACTTCAGATACTTGGAAACAACTAGCATATCCCTCCTCTTAAGTCCTCTCTTTCCCAGCTTAAATATCCCTAATTCCTCCAGTTGATGCTTTTTTGGTATGGCACCACTCTCATTACCCTCCTCTGATGCATTTCAGCATATCAATATCCTTTCCCAAAATATGATAGCAGAACTGAAATACCATGGCCAAATACAAGCCTGAAAATCACTTCCTTTGGTCAGAATGCTCTGCCTTTCTTAAAACAAGCTACAATTGTCCAGCTCTTTGGGGGATGGCATGCCCTACTTTTGACTCATTGAACTTACCAGACACTCAAATGGCTATTTTCATTATCTATTTTGCCTGATATTGACATATCTATGTAGTAGATAAATGGATAACCTGTTGGAATAGAACAGGAAAAATAGTTTTTAAAATACTTCAAACTCCTAGGTTTTGGCTTAGTTTTTAATCTCTGCTTGCTTCGTTCCATATGTAAGGAAAGAAGTGGGTGAGTGGGCTTTAAATATATAAATACAAAGAACAGAATAGACCAAGGATGTACAAATTCACAAGTTATAAAAGGCAGGCCTGCGCTGTCCTCAGGCAAGAGTATGGCAGTGTTCCATCTCTACCACAGAAGACCCACTACAGTTCATATACGTCCTTCATAAGAGATGATAAACTGGGGCATTGGAGGTCTGGAAAAAAATTCTGAGACTCCAAATAAGTTGTCCTAAAAGTGTTTTTCACCCACTGATCATGAGTAGTGATTGCACTATTTCATGGTGAAAACAGAGATACCAGCTCCAACCACTACTTGCCAGGGGAGCTCAAAGGCCTGAGATTGCTTTCTGACAATGGAGAAGCCAGCAAAATAGCTGTTGAGCATGAAACATGCAGAAGGCATGAAGAGAGTCACTTTTAAATATATTTTTCTTTTATAAATGCACATATAAAATTCTGTTCTCTGTGGATTATAGGTATTTATTTGGTGATAAGCCACTTGTATTAGATTGACAGCTCAAAGGCTCTTGTGGATAGTAATACAAACAGGATGCAAAATTTTCAAGCCTTGCCTAGGGCATACAAATACTCTATTCTGGCTCTGGTTTCTGGGGAACCTCCCTACAAATCAGCTTTTGCACAGACCTGCCTCTAGCCTCCTCCTACCAGCTCAGGGACTGGACCATGTGCTGGGAACAATAAGCAGGAAGAATAAAATATGTCACCACAGGGCTAGAGATTGAAAAGCACCGGTTGTCCCCTCTGTTCAGGCTCACATGCTCATTCAGAGCACTCATGCATTATTCAAAGCCTGGTAAAAGTCTAAGCTCAAGCAGGGCTTTAGGGACATGCCCATGCACGATGCTGGGTGGGATGGGCTGCTTTCCCCTCCTCCCATGGCAGAGGTGCAGCACGAGAACTTGGCATAAGCAAACAGCTCGCTCTCGCTCTCTCTCTCCTTTTTTTTTTTTTTTTGCTTTGTATTTTCTTTATTGCCCTTTTGAACTGTGGATATGATTCTCTCACTTATCTCTATACACGCATATGCCAAAGAGACACAAATAATCATTTACTGAGACACAAACATACATTCATACACAAATACACGCACTCACACTCACACTCACATTCGTTTTCACATGCTTGGTATTTGTGAGGAGAAAATAAGAACTCATTTCAATACCACAAAGAATCTGGAATGGAAGCTCAGCTCCACTCCCCCTTCATATATCTGTAGGAGACTTGATGACCACTGAGCTCAGTGCAGACACACAACTGATCTAAGGCAAGACCACAACTTTGAAGTAATTTAACCTAAATAGATAAACTATAATAAAGGAGATGTTAAATAACATTCAGAGGCCAAAGGTGCTGGAGAGGACCCTAACTAATTTCCCTAACCGCAATCAACCAGTATTCCCTAGCAAGCACTGCATCAAAACATCCCACAAAGATAGCTATACCCAAAGGATTAAAAAACCTCTCGGACAAAGAGACTTCAAAACCTACCCTTGCTACACCTTGCAAGGTGTCTCAACCATCTGATCTCTTTTGCTACAGTCTAAGTCCATAGGCCCTTGGTTTGTCCTGCGTAAAAAGAGCTACTTGGCATTTGAACATCATTTCTCTATCTGTTAAAATGTGATGATTAGATAAAAATTATTTAATAAAAATTATTAGATTTTGATTAAAAATCAGATAAAATTATTTCCCCCATTCATTCATTGAAGTATGGTTACTTCCATTGGACACATACTAGAAAAACTTTGTTCCATGTAATAAAACCCAGATTTTAATGTTCATGCATCTGAAACTAATTGCTTCAATGCTACCTATAAAAAAAAATTCATTGAATTGTCAGAGCTCTGCATGACTATGGGAAGCATAATTTAAACCTGTTGTTTTCATTTACCGTTTAAAAAATCTACAGCACTTCGAAAGAAGAGACATAGGTGCCAAAAGCTATTACCTCTACCCATCTCCAATGGCATGCATAAGCAAAACTGAGAGTGAGATAGGCTGGAAAAGTCATTCAAATGTGTAAAATATACTTTTCTTTTGTCCCTGGATGGCTGAATAGAAGCTAGCTGCAAGTGATTGGCTCTGGCCAAGAGCTATAATATGAGCTTGGTTAATATTGTTCAAAATATTGAGTATTTTTCTCCTGCTAGAGGCAATCAGTCTAAGGCAAGCAAGAGTGTGCAAATGAAATGTTGGCTACAGATACACACCCAGGAAGAATAATAATGCATATATATACTAATTGTATTTTGAAACCTCCTGGAGAAATAATGTTCACCCTAGGACAATACAGGAGAAATCTAGATTGTCACAGGGCTAGCGGGTGCTCTGGTCTTAAATACAGATTTCAGTGAGACCAAATTACTCCTGTGAGGCTTTGGAAAAATAATAAATCAGTTCTATCATTCAAAAAAACCCAGTGTGGGATTATATCTACCCTAGCTAAAGTACTTTCATTGATGTCTACACTGGCTGGTACATCTGTTCTGCTCCCAATGTGAAGGGCTGTCCCCACTCCAATTGTCATGTCCCAAAGAAAGCTGTTGTTTCCCAGATAGCTTTTGCTGATTAAGGAAAGTGTCATACTTAGGGAACAAACAGTCTTTCCAAATGCCCTAAAAAAATTTGCATGGAAATCTCCTGTTTCATTTTAAGGATTCTGGTGGCAAGGAATTTACTTTAGTCCACTGAGAACTTCCACATGGTGGCTCTGATAAGAGAGGATGTGAGTAGGGAGACAGCAATGCAAGTCACAATTGATCCAAGAGAGAATTTTCTTAGAAGATGATAAAGCCAAAGAGAATGCAACCATTCCATGTTCACTCAAGTCAAGAGTAGCTCCATAAGGCTTCATGAAAGGATAAGCACAATATCCTTTCAAATTAAATTTAATTATCAAATGTAGCCATTAGTCCTTGAGCGTTCTTGAGTTGGTAGAATAAAATATGATACTTTGCAGGTTGATATAAAATTTAGTCTTTGGTCCAGACCCTCAAGGCCACAGTTTCTAGTGGCCAATTTTGGTGGCAAGGGTTAAGTTTCTTCTCCAAAGTATTCCCCTCTATATTGATCCCTGGGGCAGCCTATTCTAGTATCATCCCCTTCATTGGAAAAACTTCAGCTGGCACATCTGGCTTATGGGGCAGGCCTATAGCTGTGCTTTGGCTGGGCATGGGTTAGGGAAGGGAGGAAGAGAGGAATACATCCATTTACCTCACAGTCCCATAGAACCCGCAGAAGAACAGTCACAGAAGTGTGGGAGAGGTAGTCAGACCAGCTCCACTTAGCAAAAAAAAAAAAATGGTGGACAGGAACAAGTTATCAGATGAAAGGGTTTTATGCTAGCCCTGGCCATTCTCCTGGGATGCAGGGGAAGGAGTGAGGCCTGAAGACCAACTAGAGAAGTTGAAACTTGCTGTTTCAGATAGAGTTTAATTATCCCTTTCTGCCTAATACCTCCCCAAAGCAAGGGAAATGTAGCTATGCCCAAGGAGCTGCTTTCAAAGGACATGCTTTTGTGCCAGAAGCAAGAAGCCAAAATTAGAAATAAAAATTTTATCTGGCAATGAGTATGCACTGTGTACTCTAATGTTAAGAAACACCATCAGGATGAGTGCTTTAGTTCAATTCAAGACTGATTTAACTAAGATATTTTGAAGGGGGAAGTCTAAATTTTAGTGTATTTCCTGGAAAATGTTTGAAAAGGAAATTAGTTAGCTTTTATCAGCACACAGATAAGTCAAAAGCAGGACTATCCCATAGTCTTAGCCCATGGGGGAAGTTATTTTTGTATAATCCCAAAATTCCATTGCCTCTCTTAAAAATACAATAAAGATACAACATATTGTCTCTGCAAGAAAGACTTTTGAAGGTACAAGATTACCGAACCCAATATTAACCAGTCTGTAGGACAGAGGCTTTGCCCTCAAGCACTAGAGTCCTTCAGCAGCCACACTCCTCCTAAACCATGTCCCCACACAACTCAAAAGGAATATGAAGCCTTTGTTAAATTCTCAGTTTTCCACAATACTTCTTTAAAAGTTTCTCTTTAAAGCAAGCATTTACTCCAGAAGAGACATTCCCAAATCCAACATTTAGAACATGGATGGATGGTCTTTAATTAACCAAAACTGAGGAAAATCCTAAGTAGCGCTATTTTTTGGCTTGAGGAAAATTTCTCAACATTTAAAATGGGTTTTATCTTTCTCTGTTTCATCTATTTTGTCTTTACATTTATGAAAGATGAAATAGGGTTTATATTTTAAGAGAGAGGGATGTCACCAGAGAGACATATAACCAGGGGGAAACAAAAGAAAAGGACTGGTCACACAGAGTGAGGAAGAACTGATGCACAGTGCATGATGACCAGCCCTTGGCGGCACCATGGCTATCAGGAGGTCTAAAGGAAGACCTCCAGTACGTTGGGTGCACCTCCCTCCATGGCAATTTCTAGGGGGGCCTGGGCAAGATTTGCATAGGAAGAGCAGGCATGGCGGGGTTGTCATCTGTATTACTGGACAGAGTACTCACATCTATCATAGGTACATCAAAGGGCCAGATATCCCTATTTCATGTTGCAGAACCAGCTACAAAAGAGATACCCTGAGCTGGGCAGCCCCTTACCAAACAAAGCAAAGAAATGAGTCTGCTTTCCACCCTACATACAGAGAGAAAAGAGTAGGAAAAGAAAGGCTGATCTTCTGCATTTTGTCCAAGATAAGAAATTAAGAAAGAGCCCCCACTGAGCTGGCTTTCCAACATAATTTCTTCACTATGTGGTAGAGCTAGATAAAGGGGAGAATCAGGCAGATTCTATTTCAGTGAAATAGAAAGAATAGAGGATCAAGGACATCCTGACCCTTTAAAGAGCTTCCTGTGCTGCTTGTCATGTCCCAGCTGCTAATGACATGGAGTCCTCTCTAAGTATCAACGGAGACAGAGTAAGACAAGAACAGCCCACTGTCCTTATAGCATGCGCCAAATTACAAAAATATTGTCCCTGGAGTCTAGTACGGTGCTATCCTTTGGGACCTACTCTGTGGAATGTGGGAGAGACTCCTCAAATACAGTGCAGATTGTTTACCTTGCTCAGACATATTTTCCCAATAAATTACAAGGATGGTCACTAGCTAAAACATGAAGTTGGTTGTAAACACAATGGATTTTCCTGACATTCCTCAGAGAGTTCTAGGTTTCCACATTCAGCAATGTCTTTTCATATCCAAGTTATATTATAACCTTTAAAGCCAAAGCCCAAACATAGCCATTCTCTGTCTTTTTGTTTCTATGCCAAGTCAGCATAGTGAAAGAAAGAATATCCCTGAGGAGAGAAGCTTTCCCAAAGGGTTGAACGTGGCCTTGCAGGAACAGGGACTTTTATTCCCAACAGGACTGAAGTGGCCTTGGAATCTTAATCTCTGAACTCTTCTTACCTGTTGATATCTTATCTGTATGCCCCCAGAGTGCTAACTGGAGAATGTAAAGTCCAGGCCAGGGCTCAAAGGTGCCCATAATTTTAGCCTTTAAGGAGGCCCCACAATCCCAGGGATAGAGTACTTTAGTAAAAAAAAAAAGATAGAGGGGCAGGGCAATTCTAAGCAAGTATATGAAAGTCTGGTGACATTATTGCTACACCTCTCTTTTCCTACCATCTCCTTCCCATCCTTTGCCAGGGGAGTTAGTCCAGTGGATATTAAGAGAGTGAAAAGATCACTTTGTGTCTTTGTTTTGGTCCCCAATGAAACCTGTCTCACTGATGCTCCTGCCCTTCCTCAGCTTTCAATAGAGGTCCTGTACATAGGCCCAGCATCAATTCTGCTTCAGGAATGAAGAAACAGATGGGGAGAGAAGCCAACTGGCAGTTTGGTAGACTTGTTCTCAAGAGAATAAGGAAAGAAGATTCCCTCCCTGCTTCAAGATGGTGAGGAGAGGAAACATTTCACAAAGGCAGAGAGCTGAGGGGAATCTAAGTTATGGCATCGGGGAAGCAAACTTTTTCAACGTGTCAGTGAGAGGTAAACACTTCTAGGCACAACCATGAATATGTCCAAAAAGGGACTGTGGTAAAAGCTAGTCAGTCACCTGACTGTTCATCACTCACCACATTAAAAACCCACTCCCTGGGGAGCTACATTAAAAAAAAAAAGGCTTCTAAATTCATCCTCTCCACTTATCTTCCTGCCTTCCTCACACTTCTTTTTGCTGCCAAACTCTTTACAGGGCATGGGTAAGATCCACATAGAAAAACTCAAGTCAGTAACCCACTAATACATAGTCACACCCTAAAATGCCTGTACTATTTGGAAGCAGAAAGACAAAAGGGGTTATCCAATTTAGTATAATACATGGCTTAAATGTAACTCCTAATTCCATTTTCTAAAATTCTTAGATCTCTCTTGTATCACCACTTACAATTTTGACCTTTCTTCCAAATTTTCCTAAACCACTCACATTTTTCAGCTTCAAGAATTCTCAGACCAAAGGTCCAAAAGCCATAACCAATCCACTTACAGAGCCACCTCCAAGGGTCTCTCACATCCCACTGCCATCACCCCCACTCTCCCACTGATGAATGTTGAGCTAAAAGTTTTGAGTCCACTTAAGAGTCTACCATTTCTGTCAAAAAAAAAAACCTGTTGTACAAGACAGCAGGGATTGTGTATTCGCTTTGTCATCACAGAGAACCCCAGAGGTAATAAATAAACTTCTACCCATGGAACAATTATTACCTTATAATAAAATGATTTTTTGTAAAACCTTGCTTGGCTGATACCAAGAAACTCCACTCGTCTACCCTGTATCAAGACATAGTTTCACACCCCTCCCTTAAATAGTGCACCCAGAAAGACAGGACAGAATTGATCCAGTCTCCTGTGGGTACTATTACCCAATTGACCCTTCTGCAAGGAAGAGGGTTTCTGAGCCAGCCTCTGTCCCAATCTTACCACCCTCCCTAACCCTCCCCCACCCTATGCACTCAACACAGCTATTAGAGAGTGTCCCAGAGCCAAGTGGGTTTCTGAAACACAAATCCTTGGTGGTCAGTCCTCTGGAAAAGAGTTCAACATGTGGACAATATGAACCGATAGCTGGTTGGGTCGCAAGTGCTTCATTTTCGAGGGCCTGACCAGCCCATGTCACTGAAGGGGCCCTCCCCAGTGGCTGACCGTGGTGGGGGGCCACAGGGTGTGCAAAGGTCAGAATCAGTGTCCGATTCCCCTTCTGCAATGTAGGGTCTGATTTTCGCACAAGGTGCTACAGCTGCATAGCAACTGTTCAGCATGTCCAAGTTCTCCTTGGACTGGGAAATGCTAAAGCCACTGAAGGAACGCTCGAGTTCCTCATGGTCCACTGAAGGGATAGAGATTGAGGTGTCGCTGTCCCTCAAGGCACTCTCATGGTGCTTGGCAGCCATGTCCTCATTACGGAGGAACTCCATACTAGCCCGGTTACCCCCACTGTAGGCAGACAGGGACCGCTCATGGGATGGTGGTGGGGGGATTCGGACTAAAGAACCATTATCTCCTACTGGAGAGGACCCATGGCTCTGTCGCTGATAGGCTTGGTGCTGCCACGAAGTAGATGGGGGGCATGTATTAGAAGGCATGGCCGGTGCTGGAGGGGCAGAGAAATTCTTTTGCCCCATGGAGCTGGTGGAGCGGATGATCTTGATGATACAGCCGTTCTTGTCGATGTGCTCCCGGCTCTCCTCTGGGCTATGGTAGGGAGGGGCAGGTTCTGGTTCCTTGGAACCAAAGTAGGCTTCGGTTTCTGTTGGAGGGATGCCCATCCGCTGCATATAAATGTTGACCAGGAAGTCCAACTTCTTCTCCATGGAGAGAACCTGAAAATGTTCATACCAATGTCATGTCTATTTAACCAAAAAACAAAATGAAGTTCTCACAGTAGAAGACAGAGGGCAGTCCTCACCTAGTCTCAGGTATACACACAAAAAAAGCACAAAAATCTAGCAAGGAGCACACCCAACAAACTCTACCTTTCCATTCCCTTAAATCACAGTCTACCTCCTCCAGAAGGGTCAACCCATTCTATACCTTGGAACCCTATAAATATAACCCTGGGGCCATCCTTTTCCCCTCAAAGCACCTTCCAAACAACAAAATTACATGAATGTCTTTCTGATGATTGCTTATTCACCTGTACTGTCTGCCCTTTTTTTTTTTAATGAAGCAACCGGGGTTAAGTTACTTGCCCAGAGTCACACAGCTAATGAGTGTTATGTGTCTGAGGCTGGATTTGAACTCAGGTCCTCCTGACTCCAGGGCTGGTGCTCTTCCACTGCATCACCTAGCTACCCCAACATTTTTTTTTGGCGAGGCAATGGGGTTAAGTGACTTGTACAGGGTCACACAGCTAGTGTCAAGTACCTGAGGCCGGATTTGAATTCAGGTCCTCCTGACTCCATGGCCAGTGCTCTGTCCACTGGGCCACCTACCTGCCCCCGTGTCTGCCCTTTTTGCCATCAACTCTGTGATGGTCAGGAACATGTCTCTTGTTTAGTCAGGAACCAAAACAATGCTATTCACTCTGTGCAGGTTCAGAGAATCCTTAACTAGTGGAATGTACCTTTCTCTCCTTTGCAAAAAATTGCTAAAGCAATGATATCAACAGCAATAAATCACTTGTAGTGCTTTAGAATGGCTTTATAAAGCACTTGGCTCCAAACAACCCTGTGAGGTAGGCTGTGCAAGTCTCATTCTTCCTATTTTATATGAAAGGAAACTGAGGTACTGAGCAATAAAGCAACTTTGCCCAGAGACACACGGCTAAGATATATCAGAGCTGGAATTAAAACTCCTATCTTTGGATTCTTTCCACTACATCATGGTACCTCTCTGAACTTAAGATATAGTCTATCAGCCAACAAGCATTTATAAAGATCCTATCCAGGCAAGGCTTGGTTTTGCATTTTTTTTCTATCTCCAATTCTTAGGACAGTGCTTGTCATATAGTTAGTCAGCTCTTAATAAATGCTTATTGATTTATTTGCCTTAATACTGATTATAATGAAATTGGTCAGAAGACCAAGTGGCATCTGAGATGTGGAATCCTCAGTCCACAGGGATACATTCATATGGGGTGGGGTGAAGATTGGGACACACATCTATGTCAACCTAACATCTCTTCCTTGGCCAAAACTATTTTAAAGGAGTTGACAACTATCTCTAAAGTAGAACAACAGTGCTCAAGGAATAATCCTACAGGGAGTCCCTTAGGACCAGGTGAAAGTGTCAAGCTGGTGAAAGTTACTGAAACAGTCTTGTTCATATGAAACTTATCTAAAGAATTGCATTTCAGGGGCAGCTAGGTGGCACTGTGGATAGAGCTCCAGCCTTCAAGTTCAAATCCGGCCTCAGACACTTGACACTTACTAGCTGTGTGACCCTGGGCAAGTCACTTAACCCTCCACCAAAAAGCAAAAGAAAAAAGAATTGCATTTCATAGAAAAATCCTCCTGGAGAATATGTTTTCCTAAAGAATCTTTATTAAAACAGGTTGCAATCTAAAGAGGAATAGTGATAACCATAAATCTTGGTTTTTAAAGTCAGAAAAGTCTGCCCAGTGATTTGCTCAACCACATACCTGTTTCTCCACTTTCCCAAGGCGGCCCATCATGCTGGGGTCTTCAGGCAGCTCTGCTTCTGCTGGCCCCTTAGTACGGTCCTTGTCAGTAATTGCTGGTCCCCGTCCAACAATCTGGTCCACTCTGCCAGAAATAGAAATCCCCCCAACAAACACACACAAAACCATGAGTTTGTGGCAAGCAAGGATTCAAAGGTCCTCTCCTCTCCCCTCCTAGTCAAAGCAACAGCTCCTCAATCAGGTGAGGCCTCAAAACTAGACACGTAGTTTTCAGAAAGCAGCTCAACACTCGATTAGAAGCCAACAAGCATTTGTCTCATAATTGTATTTTGAAATAATATTGTGGTTTCATTTTATTTTTCTCAGTCAAATGGAATATGGCACATTAACAAGGAGTAAAATGAAGAAAATTTTCATTTTCATTCCAATCCATCAGTTTGCATTTACTCTTCTCAAGCTAGGAGAGATGTTGGCCCTTTGGGGGTCATATATACCAGAAGCTGGCTCAGGGAGACTGCTCACTTGGTACCCCTATCCCCTGCCCAGATCACCACAGACCCTTCTGGCCAAGGTATCACTTAACTCTTAAGATCAGTCCCTGATTGGGCTCCACGATTTCTCTTTCCCTTTTTATGTCTTTTCCTTCCTTGCCTCTTCCTATCTTTGCTTTATCCCTCCACTCCAATGGCTATTAGATAATGATGCCAATTAATAACATCTTATAGTTATCTCACACATTCTACAACAACGCTAATAGGGTGATGTTTTTCCCTCATTTTAATAATAAAAACAACAGGGGCAGCTAGGTGGGGCAGTGGATAGAGCACCAGCCCTGAAGTCAGGAGGACCTGAGTTCAAATCCGACCTCAGACCAAACACTTGACACTTACTAGCTGTGTGACCCTGGGCAAATTACTTAACCCCAATTGCCTAAAAGTGAAAATAATAATAATAACAACAACAACAACAAATATATATATATATATATGCATATATATAAAATACAAATTTATATATACACATATACAAATATATATATTTATACCATGGCCTTTCTAAGGTAAGGTCTTCCGAGTTCTCACTTTGGAAACACCCATTCAGTGATTAAGCCATTTAAGAAGTGAGTCAAGGGATGGCTCCTTTAATAAAAATTTTAAAAAATCAAACCGGGAGGGGAAGAGCCTCAGTATTGCAGGCTGGCCGAAGGAGAAACAATTACTATTTACATTCATTCAGAGCCATCAGGGCCCAAAAAATGACCATTAAGTGGTGCTTGGGCAGGGACCTATTGTTGGCCAATCAATGAGAGCCAGAGTGAATTGGGTTTAAGGCATGGTGTTTAAGAAAGAAATCTTGTGATAAACCCCAAGATCACTAGGTGGGTTTCAGCCATCAAAATTCACCTTCCTTTGGGCTGAACACCCTCAGGTAAGGGCATGATTCGGGAGGGGAGGGGAGTAGCATATACATATATATGTATATATTGCCTTAATGTTTGCAAAGCATTTTACAAATGTTATCTCATTTTATTCTCCCTGCTACCCTGGAAGGTGGTGCTATTATTATGCCCACTTTACAGATGAAGAGCCTGAGGCAGATAGCAGTTAAAGGACTTGCCCAGGGTCACACAGCTATGAAACATCTGACATCAAATTTCATTCAGGTCTTCCTCACTTTAAATACAGCATTCTATTTTACCGCTTAACTATCTCAAATGAGGAAATTGAGGCTGAGAGCTTAGGTGACCTAATTCCACACAGGTAGTTAAGAATTGGGATTTGAGCCCAAATCTGGTGGCTCCTAGTTCAGTTTTCTTTTTCCATACTATAACTCACTGTTTCCTTCTGCTCTGACAATGTTACTGAAACAGGGATAGGGATAGGCACTAGATCTGAGATTTCTCCGGCATTGGGAAGTTCCAGGCAAGGAAGTTCCTTTGACCAATGCAGTTCAGCACCTTCTCTGCAATTTACGGTCTTAGAGAGTGTGGAACACTGAGAGGGTTAAGTGACTAGCCTCAGAAGCAGGACCTGAACCCTGGTCTTCCTGGTTCCAAGAACACCTTGCCATGCTGTTGGGCAGCCCCTAATCACCTGTTACATTAACAGGGTTCAATCCATATATATGTTCAACTTCATCGATCCCTGGTCTGAAGACTATGAAGGGGCAGATCTTCCCCCAGCAGGGATCTAGGTCCTTCTGTTACCCTCTCTCCAGCATGAAGAATTCCCACCCCTTCTTAACTCTTTTGTTTTACTCCAGCATAATGTGCCACTAAGTGTGGTTGGTAAGGCCTGGGAGTGTGGTCGAAACAGAGTTAAGTGTCTTGAGCAGAACAAAAGATGCTGGGTATGCAGTAGTAGTTATGGCTCCATGCACCAGTATGGGGAGAGGGAAAGAGGACAGACACAGACCAGCACACAAACCCATCCAATGCACATATCAAAGAAAAGAGACAAGACAAGCCCATTGCCAATGATAGAAGGGGCTGTCTTCCTTCCCTTGCAGAGTGTGTGTGTGTGTGTGTGTGTGTGTGTGTGTGTGTGTGTGTATGACTAAGTCATGCAGAGAGAGATAGGATAAACTCTCTTTTGGCAAGGAGAAGACAGAGAGCTGCTTCCTTTACTCTTCCAAGAACAGAGCTGGCTCCCAATTTGCCTGGAGGGGGCATGTGGTGTCAACCTACAGTAAAGCATCCCCTAACTTGGCTCTAGAGTCATTAGCATTAGAAAGAAGCCAGTTACAGGTTGCCGGCACATCATGACACACCTTGCTTATATTTTGAAATCTGGACATGAGTGATTCCCCCTGAGACAAGGTCTTAGAGAGTACGTTTTTCCTCCCCACTTTGAGAGAGCAATAACACTCATACCCTAAACCTATAGAGTTGCAAGATCTGAATAAGCTTTTTGCAGGAACTTGGGATGCTAAAGGCCCACTCAGTTCCATCAGTTTAATTGATTCTACTTGGTTGAATCAATGAAAGAAACACACCCATGCAACTGACCTGACTGGTTTCCAGATTGCTTAGCTGTTCAGGGCAACCCAGCCAGCCCTAGTTGCAGGTGTAGCCTCATTGTTGAAGCCCTCCTTAGAGTGGCTGTTATATGGGGGGGGGGGGTCAGTGTGGGCACACTGTGAATTTTAGCACTTTTCACCAATGTAAAAATCCCAGAATTAGTTGAGCAGGCCCTAGTTCAACACAGGCAGATGGATGGAAATGTTTCCCAGCACAGTGAGACCAGCTTTCTTGACATCTGAGCTGCAAATCCCCTGCTGCTCCTGGGCTTCTCCAACTCGCTCTGAACCACAGAACAGGAAATGCAGGCAAACAGCACTGGGCAAAGGTCTCTAATCAGAGGCTCATAAAATTGTGTCTATGGGATATGATCTGAATTCTAATCTTGCCCTTGATTCTCTCTCTCTTTCTGGGTTTGATATAAGACTTCATTTTTGCCCTCAGTAAATCCATCTATAGGGTGTGAGCAGCAAAAAGACTATTCCTTTTTAGAGAGAAAACTATGAGCTACTCATTCCCTATTTGGGGGTGGAAAATGCAGGGATATGTATGTGATCATTTTACTTCTTAATACACTGAGCACAGACAGGTCAGCTGGGCCCCTGAGCCATATAATCTTATGTCAGCCCAACTGCCTTTTCACTGGGGCAGGGGTGGAGATGGGAGGATTGGAGGATATTTTTGTCTTTCTTTCTGTTGAATGAAACAGAAAAGAGAAAAGTCTTGCATCAGCCATAGTGTGGGTTCTCTCATGCTCCATTGGGCTCCATGCTCACAATTCATGCACGAAGGGGCCCAAGGCTCCCTCTGGCTCAAAGCAGACGTCAGATGTTAAACAGCTTGAATGAGGAAAATGAGGTAGGGAAATAGAGAAATATTTCAGTCTTTTTAGTTCTTGTACACAATTCAAGCATTGAAGCTAAACCCCCTTCACCCATACCACATGACTGGCTTTTTTACCTACCTTTGTTTTTTCGTTTTTGTTATTTTTGAAGGAAAACTATATCAAAGAGTTCGCCTATGGCTCATTCTGCAGTCCCAGGACCCTAGCCAGGAAGGATCTATGATGGGATCTTTTCATTCTGATTCCACCTGAGCAGTTAATGAGGCTGCAGAGATTTTTCTTTATCCATGTCCACAACAGGGTTCCTAGTATGTGGGCAAATTCAACATAAGGACTGTGGCACCTGGGCCTGAAGCCAAGAGGGAAAAGAGGAGCTCCCTGCTCCCCTTGGGTGGGCCAAGAGCTCCACCCACTCCTCTAGACCTGGCCTCAAACAATCACGAGCCCAGGAATGACTTAATTCTTCAGACAGTGAATATCAAACGCAGTCTATGCATGAGAAAGTAAGCACTGAGATTGTCTCCTTGCCTGTGGGTTTTATAAGTTTGTCATTTGCAACCTACTCATTTATTTTACTGCCCACGAGGAACTTCATTTCTCATGGGGAAAATGCCAGGCAATGCACCAAGTTTAAATTCCTGGGGATTAAGTTAAATCTTTGACAGGACTAAGAATTCAATATCCAATGTGGTGTTGGAGTGGGACATGGGAATTAAGAAAGACATTGATTTACTCAAAGTTTGGCACCTTTCATGTTTCTCAGATAACTGGCATTGTTACAGCCCCAATAGCCCTGACTGAGAAAGGAACAGGGCCTACACATCACACCTGTCAGGTGAGTGCCTGGGATGTATGTATCTATGCTCATTTCTCTACAATCCAGGCTTCCTTGGTCAAAGCTAGCTAAAATTCTCACCTTCCACTCTTGTCCAGTTACTCTCTGAAAGAAACCTGTTCCTCAGGCTTCTGATCCCTGAGTTACCACAGACAAAGCCCTGAAAAACGGTCAAGGTCCTGTGGAGGGCTGAGACAGCAAGAAGTTGGGGCAGGGGAGAGAGGGAGGGGGTAGTCAGAATCACTCAGGGAAAACTTCCTTTTCCCGAATTGCCAAGGTATGGGCCTCAACCCGCCCTGCACTTCAGCAGTAGAGACCTGTAATCTACAACTGAATCAAAACACCTGGCTAAAGAGTGAAACATAGAGCCCTACTGATTCAGTTGTTAGCATGTAGGCATACATGCAAAAGGATAAAAAAAAAAAGGAGGGAAGAAGAAGAGGAAGGAGGAAGAGAGAGGAAAAAGGGTAAGAGGAAGAGGGGAGAAGAAAAGTAGGAGGGAGAGGAGGGAGGAGGAGGAGAGGAAAAAGAAGAAAATTTGCTTCACTGATTTTTTTTTCCTATTCTAGAAGCGTGACCTCATTGGTAAAAGGTACATGGAAACTCCCTCTACCCATACAGATCAGCAACTCATCTATACCTATTCTTAGAATTGTCTGGGGCAGGACAGGCAACTGGCTTACCCAAGGTCACATAGTCAATATATAGCAGAGGCAGGACTTGAGACCAGGTCTTCCTAACTCCAAGGCCAGACCTCTGTCCACTATGCCAGGCTAAATTCTACGTGATTGTCTTTAGTAAATTCGGTTAGAATAATCTGGTGCTAGGAATGTGTGAATATCCATGGTAAACAGGACTTCCTGGCTTCTTCAGAGCACCCTGCCAGAGGGCAGACAGTGGCCCCTGAAGGGCTAACAGTTCAGATTCAAGGGCAGCACAGTCTCCTACATAGTACGTGCTGAGAATCAGGGAGAAAGAACATGGCCATTTGCCTACTATTGCTTTATCAGGGAGATAGAAGATCATATAGAAGTCTACATGTGACCTAGTCATAGACAAAGGCACAATCCAGGCTGCTCTAATCACTTCAGTAAAGCATACTGGAATCATACTAAGAGCTAAACGCCGTCATGTGGTCTGGTGTGAAAGAGGTTTGCCATTTAACAAATGAACAAACCCAGAGAAAGAGGCCCTTGAGCTGAGTCCTAACCTAGGCGAGTATTGGGGCGATTCTTTGGGTCCTTTGGTGGGGTACTTCTTATGCCGGGGAGTTGAAGGGGGTGGGGGACCCACAATCATATCTATCCTGGCAAAGTAAATAAGAAAAAAGACACCAGCAAAATGCATAATGAAGCAACATGTGGAACAGAGTTGATTGTAAACTTGCAGAAACATAAGGAATAACAAAAAAAAAAACAGATTTCCCCCCCGTTTGGAAAAATACATCGTATTCCACTCAAAACGGTTGATGAAATATTTGCTTGTCCTCTGATTTGCCAAATCATTTCTCAAGTTCAAGCAAAGCATTTAATTCAGGGAGCCAGGCATCCACACAGCATCACTGCTGTATTCCCTGAAAGCAGCATGCAGTCCCCACTGGAATATATTTGCATATCTGTGGCATTATACCAGCAAGGATGTTGGCTACAGAATAACATATAGTCTCAGTATTATCAAGACGACAGAAAATATCCTGAGCTCCTTTTTTTTTCCTCCAGAGCATGAAGTTAAAAGGAAAACTTAAGAGACGAGAGAGCCTGGTAAACAAAACACAACCATAGTGAGAAAAAAGGGTGAAAAGAGAAGGGACAGAAACACCACAGTTCAGCACAGACACACAGAGAGACATAACAGCGGTTGCAGTGAGTGTAAGTTTGTCATCATGGAGGGTAGATGGGAATTTCCCCCAAGGCTCCTTCTGATGAAGTTTTTATTTACTAGGTGGTGCCCACCCTTGCTCACACAACTTCGCCCACCTCCAAGAAGGTAGCCAGTTCCAAACAGGAATACCAAGTATTATAATGACAACAATAATAATAACAACAACAAGCATTATGTAGCACTTTATGGTTTGCAAAGTATTTTACATGTTATCTTATTTGATGGATTTATACAGTAGAATTGACTCCCCAAAACTCAGCAAAGAGGAAGTGGCTATCATCCTTGGCTACCAGCCGTGGCTGTCCCATAAAAGCAATATCCTACATTTAAATATAGCCAAAGAATCCTTTTTCCTTCCTTCCCAGGCCTCAGAGGAAACCCACAGAAGACCAGCCAGTATCAGAATGGGACTCTTTTTTCAGGAATGAGACCTTCTTTCCTTGTGGCAGAGGGGCTATGGCCACTGAAGAAATATCTCAGTTATCTTCACTATTGCCTGAGGTAGGATATGGAAGCCTGGAAACCAAGCATCCAGAAAGAGGCCCGCAGGAAAAAAGAGAAAGTCATGTGCCCTTGAGCTTGCAAGGAAATCTGTTTAATTGGGCTTCAACAGAAATGACAGCCTTCCTCCTCATCCCCACACACACACACACACACACACACACACACACACACACTCCTGCACATGTGCATGCACACACTCACATCCACACCAACTAGTGAAAAGCCTGTTTTCTGTGTATACAGAAATATGTATACTGAAGCACTTGGGCTAGCTCTTTCTGATCAAAAAAAAGAGGAAAATGTTCTTTTTCTGTTAGAGCCAAACCTGGAGCATCTTTCCTGTTCTTTGTGTCCCACCCCAACCTCTATGAAGAATCACCTCCATCAGGGAGGAGGCAGGGGTGGCAGAGGAGAGGAGCCTACCCACTCTGTTCTCGAAGGAAAGAAGGTACCAAGCAGCATGTCTACCACCAGGTGGACACACAAAAATCTCTCTGGTCACATCATTCAACAAATTTGCTCAGCCCTCCATCCATCTGTCCATAAGCTTGAACCAAGGAAGGAGAGAGAGAGGGGGAGAGAGAGAGAGAGAGAGAGAGAGAGAGAGAGAGAGAGAGAGAGAGAGAGAGAGAGAGAGAGAGAGAGAGAGAGAGAGAGTAGGAGACTAAGAGAAAGAAAGAGAGTGGGAAGAGAGAAAGTGGGGGATAGGCAGAGTGAAAGAGGTTAAAAGAGAAAGAGAAAGAAAGAGGAGAAAGGGTAGGGGGGAGAATGAGAGAGAGACAGGGACAGGGAGAGAGAGAGAAATTCAGCATAAGCACAGAAGAGGCTAGATGGACCCAGTCTAGTGCCTTCTGTCTGGTCTCCTTCCTATACATTAATATGGAGCCAATGAGAAAGGTTAGTTGTGAGATAACCACCCCCACCTCCCCATTCACAGGTACAATTATTAACCCACTTTACCTTAGTTACTTGGAAGAAACCATGAGTTTTTCCCTGGGATTTCATAAAAAGATTGAAAAACCCAAAACAAAGGAGCCAAGCTCTTACACCCACCCCACGAGAAAACCAAAGCCAGAGGAGTGTCTTGCCTGGACTGAAGGTTTTTAATCCGGGATAACATATCCAGGTGTCCAGCTGAGTACTGTTCAATGACATCCATCACATCATAGGGCCTTAGGCTCTCCTTGAACTTCCGTTTGGAAACAAGGAAGCGCATGACACTGAAGGAGAAGACAAAAAGGGCTTTGCAATCTCCAGACCAATAGAAACCATAACAACGTAAATACAGGTCATGCCTTTGGATGCTAGATTGGGTAGACCCCATGCCCAGCCCTGTCCTATGCCCCCAGTATACCTCTTTCCTTCCATCTCAAAGGACAGAGGATTCGAGCACAATGAAGGGGTCAAAGTGTTCCCTGGCTTGAACAACTCCAGATCATATCAGTCTGTCCTTCTGCTAAATCCTTCTACATTTCTTTTCTTTACCATGCAATTATCGTCTTGTAGAAAAGTGTAACAATTATGTGTCATACCAGTTCAGAACTTAACACTTTTTGAAGCCCTTTCCCTTCTCTTTTCTCATCTAACAACACCTCTGAGTTAGACAGCATAGGGAATATTATGTCCATTTTACAGATGAAGAAGCTCAGGTCTGGAGAGGTTATAGTCCACAAAAGATAACACAGTTTATCAATGGCAGCACCAGGTATTGCTTGGAGTTTTCTGCCTCCCAAGCCCAGTACTTTAGCCACTCTTTTACCGCTGACTTTCTTTTAATAAGTAAGACAAAGCCCTCGGGAGAGGGATGTGCATTAAGTTCCCAGTATGTGATGGTGGAAGATATCTGAAATAGGTCCCTGAAGATAAACTTCACACTTTTGCCTAAGGTAGATATTTGCTTGTTTGGGTGACTTCTGGACCTTTTGCTTTCTCAGGTACCTTATAAGAACCCCTCACGCCCTAGTTCCAGAACTTTTAAGTTCTCTCTCTCTTTATTTCCTTCTAGATCAAGAAGCACAAAGCAAACAGGAATGTCAGAACTGGATTAAGCATCCTTGGTGTTTCTTTTGATTCCTTATGATTTCTTTTTGCAGCAAAAATATGTCAAAAGTTTAGTTCTGCAAAGGCCTATGTATACAGAAGCATAAAGGCAACTAGATGGTACAGTGGATAGAGTATCACGCCTGAAGTCAGGAAGACCTGAGTTCAATTCTGGCTGTATGACCTGGACAAGTCACTTTACCATTATTTGACTCAGTTTCCTCATCTGTAAAATGGTGATAATAACAGCACCTACCTCCCAGGGTTATTTTGAAGACCAAATAAGATAATAATTATAAAGCACATAGTGCCTGGTATACAGTAGGCACTACATAAATGTTAGCTATTATTATTATTTTACAGGCAAGGCAACCTAGGGAAATGTGTCAGTAATCACTAGATGGAATCTACAACAGAAAACTCTCTTGAGGCTCTCCCTTTTCACTTCTTACAATGCTCTATAAATTCTGCCGGTGAAGATAAATGCTTCCCCTGTGTCCCCTCCCCTTCTCTCTCTTGCCTTGGGTGCTGAGACTCTTACCACACTGCCCTGATGCTGACTTTCAGGCCTGGAGTCAGATCTTCTGTCACAAACTCACAGTTGCAGCTTTTGTTGTCATCCACAATGTCCTCTCCTGGGAGACTTGCTTCTAGGTGAAAGAAAACACCGGCTGTGAATTACCTGCTCATTACCACGTCTGGAGGTAGTCATAGAGCCCCAAACAGCAGAATGATGCACGTAGGGGAGGAGCATACTCATAACCACACTAGGCTGTTTGGGGGTGCCCAGGGCAACAGCAAAAACACCCCACGGCCATCAGTCACTCATAATTGAGTCTGTATAGTGACTGCAAGAGCCCAGTTAGTATACAACTTCCACGGGGCCCGAATCAAGGCCTCTTCTGAAAATCCCTATCACTGCCAAGGGCACCCCACCTTCCCCGTCACCCAGGCCCTCCATCTCAGTGTCACCTTTGAGTACTCATTGTCATCCACACTACATTTCCAATCTGTTGCCAAATCTTATCTTTTCTACTTCATAATATCTCTGGTATACATCCTTCTTTCTAACACACCAACCCCACTTTATTTAAGCTCTCACTACCTCATACCTAGACTACTGAGATAGTCTTTTTTTAAAAATAATTTTTATTGATTTCTTTGGTTTTTTATATCACTAAAATTTCTTCCAGTACTCTTCTGTCTTCCCTCTCCCAGAGAGCCATCCCCACATTAAAAATAATAATAATAATATTTTTAAAGAAAAAGAAGAAGGGGGCAGTGAAGTGGCGCAGTGGATAGAGCGCCAGCCTTGGAATCAGGAGGACCTGAGTTCAAATTCGGCCTCAGACAGTTGACGCTTACTAGCTGTGTGACCCTGAGCAAGTCACTTAACCCTGACTGCCTCACCAAAAAAGAAAAAGAGAAAGAAGAGGGAAAAAATCAGCAAAACTGATCCAAAAAGCCTGAAAATACATGCAATGTTCTACCCTGGCAGCCATCCAACCTCTGCGAAGGAAAGTGAGAACTATCTTCTATTTCTTCTTTGGGGCCATATTGGTTCTTTCAATTGACATCTCTACCCCCTTCAAGAAGCTTTTACTAATTCATGATGTGGTTAGTGATGACTTTCTAATCCCAGTCATTGGATATTTATTTTGTGTATTTATTTGCTTCTCTGTGAATATAACGTCTCTCTGTAGTAGAATACAAGCTCCTTAAGGTGGTCTTCTACCCCCTTTTCGCATTTGTCTTCCCATGCCTAGTTCAGTGCTTAGAACATGGTAGACCCTTAAGAAATTCTATTTGATTGACTGACCAAGGTGAGCAAAAATAAGGATTGTTATACCCATTTTACAGAGGAGGAAACTAAGGCTCAGAGCAGCTAAATGATTTGCCTATAGTCCCATAATTTAGATCGGCAAGATTTGAACGTGAATCCAGGATATCTGACTCCAAGCTCAATGTTCTTTCTGCTACCTCAATGCTCTTTCCACTCTGCACATGAAGAACATCAGTATCAAACAGCGCCATCCAGAGGCAACTATGTGGATAGAGCTCTGGACCTGGAGTCAGAAAAACCTGAGTTCAAATCAGCTGAGACACTTACTAGCCAGTTGTGTGACCTTGGGAAAGTCACTTAACCCTGTTTGCTTCAGTTTCCTCAGCTATAAAATGGGGGCGACAATACCATCTACCCCCCAGAGTTGTTATAAGAATCAAATCTGCAGAGGGCTTAGCACAATATCTGGCACACAGTAGGTATTAATAAACACTTGTGTCTTTTCTTCCAACTCCAATGTAGCTGTGTTAATGGAGGGTAACAGAACTGTAGATAAAAACAATCTGTTCTGTTTCCAGAAGCAGCTTGTTATCATATCAAGATATAAAAGTCAGGAAACTTGGGTTCTAGGCTTGACTGCCACTAATTAGCCATGTGACCTTGGACCATTATTTAATTAACCTCCTTAGACCTAAGTTTGCACATCTGTGAAATGGGGGTGCAGTTCCAATTACCTTAGAGGACTGTTGTAAAAGGTCAGTGATATCTCATGTATGTGAAAGGATTATAAATCAAGATGGAGCACTAGCATAACAGTGATGGTGATGGCAAGTGGCTTTGGAGATATATCTCTGGGGATTAGATTTAGATTATACAAGTGTAGAATGCTCTTGGATGTTACTACTGTAACAGCATATATATACTTAGTATACTATATATGCTATAGACGTGTGTAGAGTATATGCTATATACACATACAGGGCAGCGAGGTGGCATGGTGGATAGAGCACTGGGCCTGGAATCAGGAAGACTCATCTTTCTGAGTTCAAATCTGGCCTTAGACAGCGTGTGACCCTGGCTGAGTCTCTTACTCCTGTTTGCCTCAGTTTCCTCATCTGTAAAATGAGCTGAAAAAGGAAATAGCAAACCACTCCAGTATCTTTGCCAAGAAAACACCAAATGGAGTCACAAAGTATCAGACATAACTGAAATGAATGAACAAAATATACATATGTATATACTATATACATATATACACTATATATACATACACATACATGGATGGGGTAAAGAGAGAGGGAGAGGGGGGAGGAGAGAAAGAGAGAAGAAAGGGGGAGGGAGAGGGAGAGAAAGAAAGAATTTGAGGGGTTAAAGATTTATTGTAACTAGTAATGATCTCACTTCCTAGGTGAGACTTTATCCAGTCTCCCCAGCTTGTTTTCCTACTTAACTGCTCCCTGAAATTCAGGGGACATATCACTCTCTTGGTGATCAACACAAAGTTTGCCTCTCTCTGATTTTCCCTAGAATAGGGAAGGTAGTTAAGCATTTGGGTTTCAAAAGATTTCTCGGTCATACAGAAAATAAATTAATTTAATATATCAATTAATCAAGAGATTAAACAGAATAGACACTGATTGTCAATAAACTTGAAAGCAAGAAAAGATGTGACCTATCCATGGAGTACTGTGCTCATTGTAGTATAGGCATTCTTGAGGCCTGGAGCTATATTAGGGAACTGCCTGGCCTGCCTCACAGATCAGAACTTGGTACCCTCACCTACTCTACACATGTTCTCTGACCTCAATATGTTACACCTCAATATATTACAACTTTAACTCCTACGTTAAGCCTCACTGGTTTGCAAACCAACACTGGGTCGTCTTCTGGCCACAGTGACCTAGAAGAAAAGTCTGAGCCTTTAGAATCACCCAAACTAAAGGCACAACCTAATTAATCGTTTGGTCTCACCTTCGGAGTTCTGCCTCGATGCTGCACCCTTGATCCGGAATGCTTGCCGAGCTCGGTTTCGATCCCCAAAACTCCAGCTCTTGGGCACTTTGCTTGGGCTGTCCTCAATGCTCTGGTCTGCGCTGGGTGACCTCCGGACAGTCTGGGCCTGCGGAGAACTTTTCCCCTTGGCACCAACGCCTCGGGGACTGGAGAAGACACGATCTTTCAAACTGACCTTCTGACTGTTCAAGTGAAAAACCAACAGGAACAGACAGACAGACACACACACATACAGAAAAACAGCAAGAGAAGTCACTCCAGAAAGAACACACAGGCTTTCTTTCAAGTGCTTATGACTGACACCACCTCAACTCAATGGAAGAGAGACTCTGGCTGGAGAGCAAAAATATAAAACTAAAAAATGGGAAGGCAGAAAATGGCCGGTTCAGAACAGCTTCCACAAGAAGGAATTGAAAAAGCAAAGTGGGGAGGGGAATTAGTTCAGAGAAAAATTGGCTCAATGAAGAAGGCTGAAAAAGAAATGCCCTCCATTCTCAGGAGGATGTGAAACAGGGTAGAGTCCACAGGCTTGACCTGGTCCGTTCCCAAGTCAAGAGTCCGGCTCAGGTGAAGACATCAGAATGAGGCCCATGGAGTGACTAGTGATGTTTATGAATCCTTAAATCACTTTTGTGCTATCACCCAAAGGCATCAGAAGACTCTTCCTTACCTGTCCTCATGTTCCCACCACTACCACCTCCTTGAGCACCCACTAAGAAAATTAACTTGGCGCAATGAGATAATGTCAGTCAAAAATAGATCAAGAGAGAGAGAAGAGGGAAAGAAGAGGGAGAGAGGAAGGGAAGGAAAAGGAAGAATAAAGAAAGGGAGAAAGAAGCAAAGAAGGAAGGAGGGGAAAAAGAAAGAAGGAAGGGGAAGGAAAGAAAGAAGGAAAGAAAGAAAGAAAGAAAGAAAGAAAGAAAGAAAGAAAGAAAGAAAGAAAGAAAGAGAGAAGAAAGAAAGAAAGAAAGAAAGAAAGGGAAAGGAAAGGAAAGAAGGAAGGAAGGAAGGAAGGAAGGAAGGAAGGAAGGAAGGAAGGAAGGAAGGAAGGAAGGAAGGAAAGAAGGAAGGAAGGAAGGAAGGAAGGAAGGAAGGAAGGAAGGAAGGAAGGAAGGAAGGAAGAAAAATAAAGGAAGGGAGGAAGAGAAAATAAAGGAAGGAAAGGAGAAGAGAGGAGAGGAGAGGAAAGAATAGGAGAAGGAAAGGAGAAGGAAGGAAGGAGAAAGAAAGGAAGGAAGGAAAAAGAAAGAAAGAAAGGGAGAGAAAGGAAGGAAGAGGAAGAAAGGGAGGGAGGGAGAAAAGGAGAAGAAAAGAAGGAAGAAAAAGAAAGGAAGGAAGAAAGAGAAAGAAAGAAAGAGAAAATATGTTTCCTTTCCCTAAAACACTTTTTTCTAGTTCTTGGGGCTGATCTATCATTTGCCCCATTTGCACCGAGATGTTCTTTACTGAAACTTCCTAATACCCACCTGGATACCATCTCTCCTCTTTTGACCCACCCCCAACTCAACTTAAGCCAAAGCCAAAAGCAGACCCATGCTCATTAACAAGTGGCAGACTAATTATAGATGACTGAGTCTACAGAGGAGCAAGTATCCAACTTGATATGATTTGATACCCATATTTCAGAGACAAACACATGTGTTTGGTCCATGTCCTTGGCTGGAGGTGGGGGAAGGGCACACAGGACATTTAACTTGGACCATTTAGGATCATGCCTCACCATATGTGAGGTCCCTGCCTGGGTTCTATCAGAATGACAACGGAGCAACACCATTACAACTTGTCACTATGACTTATTTGCAAGCCTGCCCACTCCTAGTAGGCCTATGATTCAGAGAGCTGAGAGTCATTTAGCACAGAAGCATCAGTGGCCTTGGTCATCCAGGTTCAGGGATGGGCATGCAGTACCAAAGTCTGAAAGAATCGGATCTGTTGGCCAAAATGTAGGGGCTTTACTCATGAATGGGCAACACAATTCCTGTCGTAGAAGTTCCTTTGCCCAGAAGAGGGAAAGAGGTCAAATGCACTAAAGCAAACTACCCCTGTTCTTGTAAGGACTTGAAATGTCCTCTTTGTGAGTTTGTCTGAAATAATGGAGCTGTCACTTGGGGTTCAGACATCCTTGGGTTATAAAAAGATCTTCTGTAATAGGATCTGACCTACATAGAAGATGGTTAAAGTTGGCCTTATATACATTTAAGGGCAAAGCTTCAGTTCCCAATTATGGAAACAAGCACCCCTTTACAAGGGGAGGCCAGCTTCTTCCCACCCCCCACAATCATGTGGGGTTAGAAATCAATCAACTTGCTTCTGGGGCACATCTTTGAGATAATTCAATTTTTTCCAAAAAAAAGGCTCTTTGGTTCCCATCATCTTAGATTGTGTCTGAGCTTCTCTGAATTCACTGTCTTTTTTTTCTCATTGCTCAGTTGCCATGGAGATGACTGTGACACCCCCAATTCACTCACAGCTGATTTTTCTGCAGCAGCAAGGGAAAGAAGATGAGGCAGGGAAGAATTCACTCTAAATCAGAAAGGATGAACTCCAATTGATCACTGCAATTCTTGCCTCAAGAATCAGGGGATGTGTCTCTTCTAGGCCCTGCTGGTCTTGTTGAGACTTCCAAAAACAACTTTAAAATACCTTTGGCATTGGGAAGCTTCACAATAAGCACACCACGGTAATGTGCATTCCCATTCCTCACCCCCACCTCCATGCAATTTTCTGGATAGAAAAAATTTAGAGTCTACATTCAGACACAATCTCTCTGCAGGGAAGGACATAGCTTCAGGCTGGAGGGGCACAGGGAAGGAGAGTAGGCAAAGGGATGAAACAGAGAAAACCAAAGGACACAGACACTCTCAGCAAATCTAAACCCATTTTCTCACCCAGCAGGAAGGCCATGCAGAGGGGAGTACAGGGTCCCTGGGATCATCTCTAAAAGATATTAACAAAGCAAATAATTAAAGGCCTTCTACTGCATGTGGCAGGGTGGATTTTGCCACCTACGTGTGTGTATGGAAAGTCTGCCAAGATAGGAGATTTAAAAAGAAGACACTCCAATGATTTATCATACAAAGGAGCTGCTCCTTTTGTGGGTGCAGAGACCCAGGAAGAAAAGTAATCTTGTATGATGGGAACTTATTATGGCACCATCTTAGGTCTTACTCAAGTACCGCTTTCTATTCTGGTTTTCTTAACTAGGAGTTTATGAAGTTTTTTTAGAAAATATTTTGATAACCACATTTCCATATAATTGATTTCCTTTGTAATCCTATATATTTTATTTTATGTACTTAAAAATACTATTCTGAGAAGGAGTCCTTAGATTTCACCAGACTGCCACACCAAAGTTTCAGGAACCCTTCATGTTTTATAGGAAGCCTGTGGGGCAACCCCTTGTGTGTGATGTCATCATATGTAGAAGTCTTTTTCATACATTGCTAGCTAATCTCTTTTAAATAAAGTACAAGATGACTCTACCTTGTGTCAACCAAACTCTCCTCTATATAAAATGGTATTAGAAATCCCAGCCTAGTAATCATTGCCAAAAAGTGTGGTCCATCCTGTTCTAGTTTACTTGAAAATCATGGAATCGCAAACCAAACTAAAACACAGACCACTAAAACCTGAAGCAATGAAGTTGCTTCACTGATCTAGTTTGCATCTTGGCTACAGGTCAAGTGTCTGCTTCCCTTCTTGCCATCTCCCCCTCCCACTGCCTTATATTCCTAATCCAGCAGGGAGTTGATGTGGCTATAACGTGTTAGTTTCACAATTAGTAGGCTCAGAAAGGCGGCACACAAAGACAAGAAAAAATTGAAAAGCAGTTGGAATACCAGGAGTCCAGAAAATCTGAAAAGTGGACCACTTGCCCAGGGAAACTGGGAGAAGTCTAGAACGTGGTGGAATTCTTCCTAAAGAGACTCAAAGGAGGCCCATGTCTCACTCAAGAAGAACTAAGTATTTTTTGCTTGGTAGATTGATGTGAATTTTCATGATCCATCCCTTTACTCATGTTTACCAGTATTATCCAATGAAAGTTTGAAAAGGCAGATAAGCTGGAAGGTCAGATAGATACAGACCAATCTCTGGACAGGGGTTAGGAGGATCGTGGCATGGCAAGCTCACAGACATCTACTCTCTACGACTGGTGCTTTGTTCTCAAGACAAATCCCTCCATCATGCCTCTTTGAATGACTACCAAGAAACAGAGGCCAAAAGACCTTGTACCTACGCTAGGATCCCTGCACTTCTGCACTGGACTCTCTGGAAGGAGCAAAGGGATTTCAAAAGAGTGTCTATATCTCACAAACCACTTAGCTACTTTAGCTCAAAGTTGCTCAAATGTTCATTTAGGCAGGCCTCAGTCCATATAGGACCCATGGGTCACCAAGGAATATGGTTTGCAAGAAACACTAAAGCACTCTTTCACTTTAATGTACCCTCTGCCCTCAGAAAGGCAATAGGATTACATGTAATTTTCAAGAAAATATCAATATATAAAGCACATAAAATTTTGTTGCTCTGGGAATTTCTTCCACCAATGAACATCACAACCTGTGCATAACATATAGTCCCAGAGAATTGTCTGAGGTTAAAAAGGGTAATTAATTTGCCCAGGGTCCTACAAATAGTAAGTGTCAGAGGCAGGATTTGAATCCAGGTCTTCTAAACTTCAGTATCAACTCTCTATCCACTATACTATGCTGTCTGTTCTTCAAAGAGATACCAGGAATGCAATCATCCAAGGGAAATAGTAACCACAATAAAATGGGTTTTTAAATCATCACTAACTAAAACATCCCTGGAGGATGCTGCTGCTACTGATGGTCCAGATTCTAATCACCATGCCCTCTGAAGTTTAAGTTTCCAGGCAGAAATATGACACTGGAGTCACTCAGCAATTAAGAAATGCCTTGGTTCTACAATGATAAGATTAACAATTATTCTGTTGTGAGAGCAATGCTGACATGGGCTGTTAGAACCAGCCCTCGGGTTGCTAGCGGCCTTGGACTGCGTTGGCAGCACCGGTTCTGCCAGGCAAGATATGTAGTGGGATCTGCAGGGCAGAAAACTGTATACTTACACATGGTTGGATGAAGGACATATGGAAATGAATCAGAGAGGTCCTTCAGAGTCAAGCAGACAGAGGCGAAGAAGATTAGAGAAGAGAGAAAGA